CAAAATAGCTGCTGTAAAAAAGGTCTATTGTTCTACTTTGACATTTGGCTCTTTGTGAGTGATAGTACTGACTTACCTCTGTTTACTACTTCAAAAATAATGAATAATTAAGTGCACATTACACATTACATAAGAACATGTATTTCCCATTTGATTGCCACCTGCAGAAAATGTTCTGATCCAAACTTCCAATCCTCCCCTGACAGAATTCCCCTCGTGGACATATAGCCACGAGGACACAGTGAGTTTCAGTGCCTACGATGTAGGTAAGAACCACGGGAGCAACTTCAACGTGTCCTTCTTCCTGAGGTCTTTAAAGCCAGACGGGCTGCTGTTCCAGCTGAGGAGGCCCACAGACGAAGAAGGGGGCGAGGTCTACTTCTCAGTCTACCTGGGGATGGGGAGGGTTTTTGTCAGCTCTCTGCCTAACAGCTCCCCGCTGACAGCTCCAATATTTGTGACCACTGGTGAGAAGCAGCTCCTGCAGGTGGAGGTCCAACAAAGGCAGGTGATCTTTGAGCACGCAGGCCTTCGTTATGGGATAGGAGAGATCCCTGAGGTGACTGTTAACAGCGGGGACCAGGCCTTTGTAGGAGGACTTTCAGGGGACTTGGACTCTGATGTGTGGGGGGGGCATTACAAAGGCTGCCTGCAGGACCTGCGTTTAGACTCTGTGCATCTAGATGTGGATTCCTGGAACCGCTCAGATGAGGAGGAAGTGTATTTGCCAAGTGATGCTGAAAATGTAAAGGAGGGCTGCGTCAGTGATGATTCCTGCAAGGTAGGAAGTAGTTCCTTTGTTCCTAACAGTTATATGAAGGTGAACACCATTTGCTGCAAGCCGGGTCACAACAATCCCAGGCTCCTTGCCCAATGCTGACAGCACAAAAATGGGACACAGAATTGGCCCTTGAGTTTTTGACACCTGTCCTAACGTACAATAGTTACAGTTTTAAAACTCTGCTGAAGAATGTTGGCTGAGTTATTTGAGTCTGGATTATATAAAATCTCAATGTTTCCCTCTACAGATGTCGCCTTGTCAAAATGGAGGAGAATGCACCATCACATTCAACGATTTTACATGTTCTTGTCCGGAGGAATACACTGGAAAGACCTGTGAAACACGTGTGTGGTGCGTTAGTGATCCTTGTGTCAATGGCGGTCATTGTGTGGACCTTCCTGATGGATATGAATGTAAGAACATCTGTATGCTTTTATTACTATTATTAGTAATTTCCCCACGGGGATTATTAAAGTATTTCTGATTCTGATTCTGATTCTGATTACTGTGGCTAGTCAGAAATGTGTCATATTCTTTTGGCAATACTAGCGCCCTTTGAAATACTTTGATCTAATTGTTTGTGAAGATGGTGTTACTATACAAACAGCATGAAAATAATATAGTATTGGTAGTTCTGCAGCAAACCAATGTAAATGAATCTCTTCGTGTTGACCCATAGGTGTGTACAATGCCACGTTCGAGAACAACCCTGTGCACTACAGTGCTGGAGGCTCCCTGGCCGAACCCGTCTCTGACATATACATGGAGCTGCGGACTCGTTCAGAGAACGCCGTGCTCCTCAGAGCCTCCTGGGGTTCTGACCTACTGATGGTTGGCCTTCTGGACTCTACAGTCCGGGTGGAGATTCACATTGGCAACAGTGTTGAGACGCTGACCTTTACAGGAGTTCGTCGAGTGGCTGATGGGAGCTGGCACCGTGTGAACATTTCAATGGTTGAGAAGGAACGCAAAGCCTCTCTCTGGGTTATCACCGTGGATGGAATCACAGACGCCAGCAGCGTGCCAGAGCGCACAGGAAGCCTTCATTTTCTTAATGAGAAGGGCGCCACGCTGGCTATCGCAGAGAGCTTTACTGGTTGCTTGGGTGCACTGAGGGTCGGAGGAGTCTACCTTCCTTTTGTGGATGACAATAAAGCCCCGCAGCCATCGCAATTCCATTTGGATGGCAAAGCAACGATTCGTTTGGGTTGTTCCAGTGCCCCTGTTTGTGATTCAGATCCTTGTCTAAATGGAGCCACCTGTGAAGACCTCTTTAATAAATTCGGCTGTGTCTGTGACTCGGGTTGGGAGGGAGAGCAGTGTGAAACAGACACTGATGACTGTGCATCTCAGCCCTGCGCCCACGGAAGCTGTAAGGACTACTTAGCTGGTTTTGAGTGCCGTTGCCACCCTGGATATGCTGGTGAGCTCTGTGATGAGGATCTCGACGAGTGTGAGCATCACGTTTGTGAACATGGAGGCACCTGCCAGGATGGACCCAACATGTACACCTGTATATGCTCCAAGGACTATAGAGGCCCCCTCTGCCAGTGAGTACTCACTTTCTGTGGCTTTAGCATACAGTGTCTGCACAAAGCAACACCACATTCTGGCATTTCATTCATCATTCATTAAATCATTGTTTAACACCTTTTCCACCAGATGGGACTATCCTCCAATACAGTGTGGCGAAGATGTCCAGTGTGCAAATGACGGTATCTGCAATGATGGGCTATGGGGAGCGAACTGCACATGCATGCCAGGTTTTACAGGCAGCAGGTGAGCTCACTTTTACAATAGATTTGACTCTTTCAGTCCTAAAGGTCTGGTGTTTTTATCTACAGAGGGAGTGGGTACTCTTCTACTGAGGCCGCCACAAGCCCCCAGGAAAAGCACTGGGCTTTGAAGACAATTTGACATAGTGGCCAAACCATGTAATGAAGGAAAGTTTATCTTTGATGTGATGCACACTGGCCCAAAAACACTTTTCCTCATTATTTTAGATTGTGAAAAAAGCGCCTAAGACGATAGATAACAACCCAGAGCATCACCAATCAGAATTTGATCTATAAGGATCAATAACATTTGGAAAGTCAAGAAGAGGTGCTTTATTAAATAATTTTATTTCCATTCAAGTTAGTGGAAAGCTAAGCTGGTTAGTAGCTTGGCCAGCAGAAGTCTCTAGTGTGCTCATGAAAACATACCGTATGTGGAAGATCGGGTAGATTGGGTTGAACTTTTTTTGGCACATGTGCCACTGAGCAACTTCCATAGGAATAAACAGAGCCTCCCTCCAATGCTGTATTCAGTTCTCCTTAAGACATCCATGTCAAGAGCTCTAGATACAGCCTTTTACCATTTTTTGCAGCAAATGTAATTTCTTCTACATGCTAGGAAGGCAAGTGTCATTCTGTTAGTTGTACTAAATGCCACTAAATTTTACAAACTGGTCTTTTAATTCACACACATTGTGTATTAAAGTGGAGAGGCAAAGTGATTAAATGGTCAGTTCACTGAAATTACAACTTTGGTTTTGTGTTTTGTTTGGTGGTGTAATAGACACTCCTCCTGCTGGCGTTTGTACTTTGTTTAAGTCCCTCCAGGAATATAAATGATATGCATAACTTGTTGTATTTGTCTAGGTTTTGAGATATCTGTGTAGGGTCCGTTTCCTTGTGGAGTAACAGGGACACACACATTTTTTCAGAGCTTTGAGCAGCACAACCCTGTTCCATTCCCCTCTACTGTATTGCGGTGCAAGCAGAACTCTCTGATGCAGATATCTCCAAGCCTGAACAAATAAAACTATTATGAACTATTAATAAAGTCATAAAGACTTTTTGAGATTTCTCTGTCTGGTGTTTCTGTCCTTTCCAAATCTGACTTAATGCATTTCCTGTCTTGCAGGTGTGAAATGGAGATCAATGAGTGTCAGTCTAACCCGTGCCGAAACGGTGGCTCCTGTTTGGATCGCTTCAACATGTTCGTGTGCGAATGCCCGACTGGTTACAGCGGTCCTATCTGTGACACTAACGTATGTTTGTTAAATTTTTCTCCTTCAGTATTAGCTTGTGTTCACACTGCAAGCCTTATTGCTTAATTCTAATTTATTGCTCAGATCAGATTTTTGTTTGTTTGGCTCTGCACATTATTTTTGGAATGTGGCTCATATTAGATCCAGTGTGAACAGATCACAGTCCTGATGTAAGTCACATAACGAATTAAGATCTAGAGTGCTGTAAAAGTTACATGAATCCTGATATGACTGAGGTCACATTGCAAAGAATCAGACTTGAATCTGATTTGGACCACATAGGAAAGTGGCCCAAATCTGAATTGAAAAGATCAGATTTCATGTGATTTGGACTGTTGACATTGTCATGAAATAAGCAGATTGTTGTGCATTGTTGCCTAGCAACATATAATAAACATGCAATAAACTAAATTCTCAAAGATAGCTGAAGCATGACATTTTACAACAGACTATACAAAACCTTTGTGACATTTTTGTCCAACCTCTGCCCTCTGTGTCTCTGCAGAAACAAGCACATAAACAGGGAGTCCCCTGGCTGGTGGTGGCCATCCCGCTGCTCTGCTTTTGCCTGCTGATAATGATCATTGGCTTGACCTTCGTGGTACTCACGGCGAGGAAGAAGCGTCAGTCGGAGGGTGCGTACAGCCCCAGCTCACAGGAGCTAGCCGGGGCTCGGCTGGAGATGGACAGCATGCTCAAAGTCCCGCCGGAGGAGAGACTCATCTGAGACACAGCGAGTGTTTGAGGGGATCTGAGCACTGCAGGCAGATGCACGGGACTCACTGTTAAACTTTTAGATACTCTAAATACCTGGGCTGAACTGGATGACGTGTGTTGTAGCATACAGCCCCCTCCTGGTGGAGACCAGCTACTGCAATGTGTTAATCATGTGGTGCTGAGTTTTTGACAAAGGACATCTGCCCCTCAGAAACTTACTGACAGGTTGAGGAAACAAGGAAGTACAATCCATTGCTCTATACACTGTAGTTCGTCTAAGGCAGGGCCTTAACCTGTTTCTATAGTCCTAAATAGACAATTTAAGGGCTTTATTTTGAGAACCTCTGCACAGTCAAGTGATACAAGCACACAAAAACTGGCTGATGGTGTTTCCAGAGTCAGAGGATTAGAGTGTGCCTGTGGTGCTGCTGGAAACTGGGTTGCATTTGTAGGAAAGCATCATTAGATGTCAGGGACCCAAACAGCACCCAGCACAGATGAGCAAAGGCCACTAGATGCTGGCTCCAAGAAAACTATGGCTGTGTTAGAGTGACTGGAAAACCAGCACAATTTATTTTTCTATTTACTTGTAATGTGGATCTGGGCTGGAGATTTTGATAATTCCACTTAAAAGACATTACAGCTTAAATATAGGAATAATTAAGAGTGTTTTTAATAAAGTGCATTTTCATGCACAGGTTTAATTTGCACACACAAACATCCACATCTGAGTGGAAACCTAGCAGTAACTTCTGTGGCTGCAAGTGAATACCGAATTGTCAAAATCTGCAGTTTCTCAAAAACCACTTGAGTCAATCTCCATAAGGCCCCATATTAAAATGCCCTATACAGCAAAATTAAACCTGTTTACAGCCTGGTACAGAAAACACTTTTGGCCTCTATAGACAATTTCTCCATTTATGACAACTGTACTGTTGTAACTAACCTGTTTAAATTATATCAAGGCTTAAAGTAAAATATTAAGGTCCAGGCTTTATTCAGCCCGCCTCAGCTCCACCTCTTTGCCCATTTTTGGATTAGCCGGGAGCCGGTGTAGTCAGGACTGCCAAGATGGCGCCGGCCAGCAGGATCCTACACTGAGCTGTCACAACTGCTCTTCAGAGACCAATGGGGGATATTACAGAGACTACAGACATTTTTAATGATACAGTCTACGGTATTAATGTGTGTCCTGGGTGATCTGATCACAAGTGGACAGCTCTAACTACAGGTGTAAATGCACCCATGACACATTGAGGATTCATTGAGATCCGATCGCTCAGACCACATTCAGAGGCATTCTTTTAGCACTGTGTCCTGTACCACACTGAAGGACCGCCTCCTCAACTGAAATCTTCTGCGTAAACTGAAGTACGTATAAAGAAGAAGCCACAACAACAGACAAAATGGATTCTCGTGGTTGAAGTACTCATGAAACGTGCTGTCTGATTTCCATTTGGGGAAAAAGCATCAGTATAAAAGAGTAAACTCATTTTAATTTGCAGGATACTTGACAACTACTTCAGTATTTGAAAACAGAAATGATGCTAGTGTTTATTTGCATATAGAGCGGGGAAGTGAGATTCGATCTTAAGTGTTCACTCGAGATGAATGCGGAGACGCATTTTAATGTCAGGTAAAAACTGACGTACTTTAAGTGTCCACTTTGGATTGACTGAATCACATTGCCATAACCAGGGTCAATGACAGAACAATTTCTCTCTCAAAAAAAAACAAAAACTTACCGGAGAGCATGAGGACATGTACAGCACCTTAAAAAAGTCACTGAGAGCAGAAAATAAAGTAGCTTATGAGAAGACAGCTGCTTATCATGAACTGCTCTGGTCTCGAGAGAGCTGTAGGACAATGTAGGAAACAGTGAGATCAGCTGGGACAGGTTGAGGCCACCTCAGGGTTTCTCACTCTATGTGCCATGGTGTATCCTCACAGCTCTGTGCTGAAATGGGTCATATTTTAATCAACAGTACGGATGGGCGGCTTGCTCCAGTTGAGATCATTGTTGTTGGAAGACAAGTGGGTTGTAGGGGGTCCCCAGCAAAAGGAGGAATAGAAAAAGAAGGAAAAAAAACTTTTTGGGGAATTTTTGGAAGTTGAAACATCCATGAAAGAAATTGGATTGGCTGCCTGGATTGATTGATCCTAGTTTGATTACTGATTGACTATGAAGACAAAATCCTCTCAAATTAGGGGTCCGTAGTCTAATGTGCATCTACTGTGTTGGTCCTTGACATAAAAATGTTTGGGGGATGCTGGGGGCAAAAGTTTGACCCTCTACCTACTGCCCTCTGTGCATAGTGTATGTACTCTGCAAACAGCAGCTCTGTTAAACCCCCAGGGAGGGCAACCAGTGCTTCTGTGCAGAGATACAGAAACAAACACCAGCATTTCCCATGTCTCAGTAAGCTTCTAAATAGAGATACAGAACATGGCTGGGATTGCTGCCAAAAACATAGATTCCCATAATCCTTTACCCCCAAAGTTGCACTGTAATACATACTCCCTACTGCACTTCTCACCCACTTTGGTGCACTCTGACAAAAAAATAAAAATTGCTAACACTTCATATTAAGGTACACATATTCACTATTAACTAGTTTCTTATTAACATGCATATTAGTAGCATATTGGCTTTTTATTAGTTGTTATAAAGAACGTATTAATGCCTTATTCTGCATCAGCATATTCTACAACTACTAGGCCATTATTAAGAGTTTTTTTTAAAACTCCTAATTACTTCCTATTGACATAAACTTAATAAGCTCTGCTCAGTATGGAAATTATTACGTGTTCGTTAAACTACTAAGTAGTTAATAGTGTTCATATAACTCTAGATAAAGTCTTTCTCACAATATGTCCTCTAGCTCCTCCTAGTGCTCCTAATGACATGTGCAAGAATCCATTGGACCTGAATGAAAAAAGTTATTTTTATAATAGCTGCCTGCTGCAGCTTTAAGGGAGGATGAGTATTGTTGTGGTACCTTATAAGGCCCATACTGAGCAGTGCATATTAGGATCACAATTCATATACAACTTCATTTCTTACTATCTATTAGTAGTGAATGATTAGGAGGTTAATGTTAATGGCCTTGTAGTTATAGAATATGGCCATGCCAAATACAGTCCCTCCATCCTTTGGGATTGTTGCAGCCTAAAAAAGCCTGATTTAACTGCAACCACAGTCATTTTTTTGCAATGAAAAGCGAAAATTGCTATAATAGTTTAAACTTTTTTGTCTAATTCATTTAAAGTCAAATACAATTTATTGTGGGTGAGAATAAGATTGCAAGTAGTGACTCAACCTTTAGCTGACTTTGGGGAACTGATTGATTGGTTAAACTTGCGTAAAAGTTTAAATGAAAATTGTAACGTCACGCAGAATTCACAGGGTTCGGTTGAATCTGCGTTAATTGTTGCGATTGCAACTTGCTGGAGAGACTAAAAGAAGGCCTTATGCTACTAATATGCATGCTAATAAGCAGCTAGTTAATGGTGAATATGTGTACTTTAATATAAGTGTTACCTGAAAACTACTGTGTGTGCTTGAAAAGAATTTCTGTTTTGAAATCACCAACTGTCAGATGGCAGTGGAGCTTCAGAGAAAGGTGAGGACGGCTGTTCTGGGGAATTCACCAGTACAAACTGGTGAGCAAAATGGGAAAAATCCATAAAAAACACACATCTAATGCATATTTTTTCAAAAGACTTTTTTTTTTCAGTTTAAATCCATTTAAGCTTGTTTAGTTGATGACAGTCTAGTTTTTCTTGTTAGGACTGCAGTCTGTTCACTCCACAGATCCTGCACAGTTTGTAGACTTATGTTTCTTCTGCTTATGTTGGATTTGGGGTTTCACTGTTGGCGCCTCACATGCTCAAAGGGAGCGCCTCGACCTTGTCAGTAGCAACTTCCCCCTTGTTAACAATCGGTGGTGATGCATTAAATCCTGGGAAATCCAAGACTGGGACATGAATACAAACAGCTTCCATACATATGACGCTCTCAGTGTGTACAACGTGTTTACGATGTAAAGTTGAAATATTGCAACAAAACAAATAATAAAAGGAATAAAAAGACCCTAAAGTGTAAATGTGAGAAGGAAAAATATGACACACACTTTAAGGGGAAAAATGTGATGTACAGTATTAGTCTTTTTTAAACAAATATGTAATCTTTTAGTACGAATTTAGGTGTTGGCTGCACAGTGTGTCACTGTTTCCTTTAGTGATGTACAAAATCCAAGATATTTTATTCATAATGTATTGTAAACATGCAATAAAGTGAAATGGCTTCTGAAATGTCATACAATGTCTGATTATCCATCCATTATGTAAACCAGTAATGCTACTCAGAGCCTATCCCAGCATGCATTATGCTAGAGGAAAGGTCTGTCACACAAATGATAGATTTCAAGGTTTTTTATGGACAAATTAATTCAAAATTAGGGGCCAGTAAATAATGGACAGATGTAAAACATAGTTTTATTCTTTTAGGATTAATATACACCCAAATACTGTTTTGAATTATGATTTTTATTACTTAATAAATTATTAAAAAATAAATTAATAAATGATTTGCCCAACAAATAAAGGGAGAGCTTTTGTCTTGCTTTATTGTAATAACTAATTAATTAAGAACTGCAAAGTTCAAAGGATATAGTCAAAATATTGTTTTAAAGGTTTTTTTATGTTGGAAAATGTGATGTAACTTAAAACCCACATAAAATGCCTCATAAAATGAATGAAAACTCAATTTCTTCTGAGCAAAGCCCCGAAATTTGATACAAATTTGGTTAGAAACACGGCTAATGAATGAAACACAATAACTTTTTTTTGTTTACAAGAACTCCACAAGGCACCTTTGAAGGAGCAGTCTGACATTTTGGGAAATCCTCTTGTTTGCCATTTTACTCAGATTAAGAGAAGATCAATATAAATCATTTTCTATCAACATATCAAGTCCCTCTTTGTGTGTTTACCCAGCACAGGTTTAACCCTGCAGGAAGGCTAAGGAGCTAGCTTAGCTCAAGTTCAAATTGAAAAATGGTCCTTCTTCTTCTTCCTCCTCCAAAGCTGTAAAGCAATAGTGGCAGCGGCGTGAGACTGTAACGCATCAGTTGACACATCAACTGTCAAACACACTTTGGAGTCAAGGGCCTGTATTTGGTAAGATGCAGTCTCAGGGATCCCCGTCTGATAAGATTTAGTTATTCGAGAACTGTAGATTGGCAGATTAACAGTGAGCAGTGTGCAACCTATTCAGTCATTCTTATACATTCTCTAATTGAGCTAACTTCTAGTCAATGAAATAATAGTGAAATTAAAATATTCCCAGTTTTTCTGGGGACCCCCTGAGGCCAGGTTGAGAACCACTGCTCTACACAGCGCACGGTCAGACTCCACCAACAGTCAAAAACCAGTCCCCTCCTCAGCAATCATACCTATATAGGGTTAGCTTCACTTGAGAATGTCTCCAAGCTAACAAGTGGAAGTTAGAACAAACTGCATTTATCTAAGAAACCCAGACAAACTGGAACACACTGTTGTAGATTTTGTTATTGATTTTAATATGTCTTCTGTACAAGTGGACATTTTGGTGTGACGGTAGTGCTAAAGAAACGGTCAGTCACCCAAAACACTGTTTCATCCTCTAAGAACCCCAAATTCATGGTTCCTAAAAGACCTTTTTTTTAATATATATACAATGTTATGGACCAAAGTCACCATGCCTAGGTCCCGCCCCTTCCTCAACTTCCCCCTTTTCTGTACTTAGATATGCTATGTGCTAGGCTAATCTAGGTTGAAAAGACAACCACATTTTAAAGATGGTTAAAAGATAACATATAGTCACATCTTAAGTCAGCTAACCAACAACTGACGTAAATTAGCTAGCTAATAAGATACTTTTTTTTTTGCTAAAATTAGCTTTCAGATTAACTATGTAGCTAACAAATGATGTAGATTAGCTTGGTAGTAAGCAAGAATTTTGCTCTGTATCAAAATGCTAGCTTATGACTGATGCAGACCAGTGGTTCCAACCTTTTCCCTTTTCTATCATAGAGCAAACTGACTATGGGACATATTTTATGGATATTTCATATTATATTCAATAATAAAAATATCAGTAGAGAACCAGTGATGAACACAACACACAATAACTGCAGGAAGTTTGTGTAAAACCAGAGATTTGGATGAATTTTGAGCACATTATTTCCTGTAAGTATTGATCAGAGATGAGTTTTACTGATATTTTCAGGAACTTTTTATTCAGTCTGTGTTATATGTGTAATGGTAGCAAATCACTACCAAACTATACCAATTGTTAATTAGCTAACGTTTCATTAGCAAACTTAAGATATGACTATATATGTCACTTTTATATTTTAACCATCTTGAAGCTTGGTTGTCTTTTAGCCTAGGACATAGCATATCTAAGTACAGGAAAGGAAGAAGTTGGTTTTGACTGAGGCATTGCCAAAATGTTATTTGGAGCGGGAGAGCCAAAGGGGGCAGGGACATTTAAAGGAAGGGGGCAAATTGTTTAGCAAGTGGAATATCTGATAGTGGTACTAGAGGAAAGGATGGGGCTTTACAAGTTAAATTAGTCAGGAATCAATGTGTGGGGGTCATAAATTAAATGGCATGTCAATATGAAGCAGTGAACAAGATTTCTGGATCTGGGCCAATAGACAGATGGTCACTGGGGGGAAAAAGTAACATTGTAATGAACATGTCCTTACGTATCAGTTGTGGAATTTTAATCAAGTGAAGCTGACATGTTATCATGAAATAATTGTATTTTTAGGCAAGTGCAGGAGGATACTAGTCACCACTCTTTAATCAGTCTTAGAGCAAATATAGTGTAATCTTTACACACACACACACACCACACACCACACACAACCACACACCACACACACACACAACACACCACACAACAAACACACACACACACACACGTAACTAGACCTGTAAAGCACATTAAAGCGATTAGGACTCTGTTGGCTTTCACCACGCATGAACGCACAAGATCATCTGTGAAGCAGTAAAGGTGACACCCACACAATCTGTGTTGTTGCTGCTATAGAAACCGGTGGCAAAAATAAGTGACAACCATTATGTCTGCTCTCTATGCACACTTTACATCACAAAGTGTAAGCAGCTTGGAACTCAACAGCCGATCACTGTCATGAAAGAAATACTCCACTAAGGCAAAAACCAACAGAAGGAAATCATTAGTGCATATATCACCATCAAAACTGTCAAAGAGCCTTTAAAACAACAGATATACAATAATGTGTTTCATGTATCCCCGTATATTTAATTTGACAAATGTTTAAAATCATTTTTAGGGACATTACAGTCTATTGTAGGCTTGCAGGTTTTCTTAAAAAGTTTCTTTTTTTTAAAAAACAGTAGGAGGTGACACATTTTCACAGGTCAGAGAGAGGCCAGAGATAGGATTCACACCATGAAGGCCAAAGAAACAAAAGCACTGTGCATGAAGCTACCAAAACATCAACAGTGAGCTAATGAGATTCACCACTCTTTGTAGCTACCATAATTCCATTAGGATGTCAATCAACTATAGCAGACTAGCTACTGCTAATAATACCAGCTAATCGTACAAGTTGACATCATTAAGACATATGCTGTTGTGGGTGTGACATATATCCTCTCAGGAAATACTGCGTGCTGTTTAAGTCACAAATCTATACTGAGCACCACGCTAACGTGGTGGCATTGAAGACAGAGGAAATGAGGGACTGCTGTGCAAAACATTGTTAGTGATGGGCTGTTGGCATCTGAACGTCTTGAAGCAAGGCCTGCTTTGTGTGTGTTTTCCGGGGGAGCGTGGCAGGAAAATGAAACAGACGATACTTTGACAGCGAACGGGTGGTTCAAGAGTGGTGTGCTGGCAGCAGTCCACAGAAGCTCCATTTGTCCAACGGACACACACTCCTGTTTGTCAGTGGTCGGCAGCAGAGCTGATGGTGATGGGTAGGGGACATGTTGTAGGGTGTCACATGAGTGTTCCTACCAACTGGATCAGGACCTTCTGTCGCAGTAAATTATATATAATCTCACCAGAGTAAAGATTTGTTTATGTTTTGGTAATAAAAGCTATTTATTTCAAGTTTAGATTAAATTTCTACTCGTAGTTATAGAGTGCTGCAGTGGTGATGTGTTTTTGTAGTGCAGGTTCCAAAGGAAAAAGCCAATGGGATTTTTATTCATTGGATTTTGGATTATTGCAGAACATAAGCTCTGTGGCGACAAAGGTTTATGAGGTCATAAGGTTATTTTGTTCAGCAAGATAATCTTCACAAATGAACACTACTTGATTTTTGAAGGGTAAATGTGATTGCTAGAATAAAAAGCTAACATTTCTAACGTGTCGCTAAAATGTAAAGTTTGAGTTGTATAGTTTACTGAGTGCGAGTATAAACACAACAAGGCTGTAATGGCGGACTAATGAGCAGATAAATCTCCTTGTTTTAATGTCACCGACAACCTCTGTAGTCTCATTTAACCACTTCTTTTTAAAACAGCTTCAAAATTCACAGCTGGGGTATTTACTGATGGATTTTTTGTCGTACAACAAAACTTGAAAATCTCAAAATCTCTTAAATGACCTTATTTCAGGCGTCAAACCAAAATCAATACAAAAAACCCATTGACTTTGAGGAGAGCTAAAATGCTAGCCCTAACTCAGTTTTAGGACTTGTTCTTGCAGCACTCAATGGGAAGCCAATTACACCTGAATTAACCACTGGGGGCAGTAATACACCTTGAACAGCTACCCTGTCAGAAAGGCAACTAGTGTATTGGTTTACAGCCCAGCCAAACAAACTGTGACCATAGAGCATTCATTGTGTCTTTGTTTTGATAAAGTAGTCTGTCAACAATGGCATCTGACACAGTAAGACTATGCTAACGATCCGGTCTATCGACACATAAAAGATGGATGTTGCATCTGCACTTCCTCATTCTGTACAAAAATGAAGCCCAAATATCTAGATGCCATCTTTCGCAAGTCTGCGCAGTAGTGATTGGGGTTGGCACTGCGATATTATAGCTTCAAATAACTGATTAAAACCAAACATATTAGAAAAAAGGAACATCAGTGGTTGGGGATGTTTTGGCTTCATTTTGGAGAGCTCTCGTGTCGTCTATCTCATGTCGTCCATCTTTATATATGTCGATGATCCTGTGTTATCTTTTGCTTCATGTGCAGTAGGTGCATGCATAGTTTCCTATTAATCCCTCTTGTGCGGGTACACAATTTGAATCCTGCACTGAGCAGGCAGACTTCCATAATAACAATAAAAACAACTATATAGAGAGGTAATAATGGAATAGAAATACATCCAATGGCAGTAGCTCAAACATTTCTGACTGTGAACACAATAGAACATGGGGTTGTAATAAAATGAAAATATTATATACATTTCTTCTATGAATGTTAGTTGCAGAAGCAGAGTAGAGTGTATTAGAGCAATGCGGCATTAACTGCAACAGAAGGTCCGGATATGTTAGTGAGGGAAGTGTGGGTAGTGACGGAGGGACACCTCAGTACATTCACAGGTTTTAATCAAATGTTTCCCACCTCCTCCGAAGGTCCTCCACCTTCTTTTTTTGGGGTGTAGCTGGCTTGGCCATAGTCAGCAGATCCCCAAATGGATCCTGAGTTGTCTGGCTGTCTCCCTCAGCACGAAGTGGCTTTGCCAGTAAGTTCACGGCTGTGCTAGGGACAGAAGTCGAGTCTGCCAGGCTGGAAAGAGCGTGATTACTGGCGGAGGAGTGAGGCAGGGAAGTGACGGAGGGGGGGAAGGCTGGCTGGAGAAGTCCGTAGCTGGGTGGCAGAGTTGAACTGCCGGGCGAAGGCTGTCTGTAGAGCCCCGGTAACGTAGAAAAGGACTGTGGCTGGGGTGGAGTGTGTAAGTAAGAACCTGGGGGAGGCCCATAGACTGCGCTGAAGGGATTCCCACTTACAGTCGGTGAGTAATGCATTTGAGGGGAGGTGTGCTGCAGAGACTGGGCAAAAGGGTTCAGTGATATGTGAGGATGTAGTGGGAAAGGAGGTAACCCTTGTGGGTAAGACCTGGGTGGTAGTGTTGGTTTGCAGGAAGATGATGACACACCAAGATCTACCCCATCACTCAGTGAAGTGGAACTAGTTGGTGCTGAGCTGTTAAGGGGGTCTAGAAGGCTTATCAGATCTATGCTGTCCTCAGTGGCCTTGGTGGGCTTCAGCAGGTCTTCGTCTGTGCTCATGCTCAGGGCTTGCCTAAACTCTTGCCCCCCTGATGTAGTCCCTCCTTCACTAGCTCCTCCTGGTTTAGAGCGTGATTGGGCCACAGGGGGTGCCAGGACACCACCAAGCTCAGGTGTCTTTCTTCCGTGGGGGCGTGGAATGGTGATGTTGCCGGGGGTGGAAGGGTCCAAAGGGTCGGGGCCCAGGCCGGAGAGTTCGTGGCTCGGAGAATGGGTGTCCGTCTGCACAGGAAGTTGGACAGATGGAGGTCTATCGCAGGTAGGAGGCACACAAACGGGCAAGGCTGTTTCATCCTGCCCCATACTCCACAGCTTATTGTAAGGGTTGGACAGCTTGAGGCCTGGAAGCGTTCGCGAGTGTTCACCAACACTCAGGTCCATCCGCTGCAAGCACAAGAAATAATAAGGACCTATGTGCTTATAGCTTACACTACTGATAACCAATTCATGCAAGTGATACGGTTGAATCAATGTGTTTTTCCAACATAGTGACTTTAATATTGCTCAACATAGCTAATGCATAATGATAAAATGCATGTGTAATATGCAATATTACCGCCATTTTTGTTCTTTTCGCAAATTACTTTGTCGGTTGTACAGTGCTCTGTGGAATTACCTATTTGTACTAATCATCTGCACCCTCCCTCCTCCTGCCTCCTGGGTCTCCGACTTAACTCTGAGTTAAGGGGCGACTTTCAGCCAAATAAAGTCACCAGTTAGTTACCATATTCAGCTTAAAGTCGGTGTAGCAGTCAGTGGCTTGTCATTCACTGTGGTTGGCTTGTCAATAGTGTGTTATTTCTTGACTGCGGTTATCGCCTACCAACATAACTAATTTTCTTCATTAGAGTGAATGTATTTAAAAGGACCAGTGTGTAGGCTTAAGTGGCATCTAGCGGTAAAGTTGTAGATTGCAACTCACTGCACACTGCTCGCATCTGTCCAGGTATTGCCAGTGGGTCACACCCTGGGCTATAAGAAATTCTTCCATGTAGCAAAATTAATCAAAATATTCTGTGTTCTGGAAACATATATCAAAATTAAAATATATTAAAATATTACATTAACTATGGTGGTTAGATTTCTTACATCTGGGGACATCAGTCCCTCCAGGAAATTGCGACTGCAATAATTGATGCAAATTCAACCAATTACTCTGAATTCAGAGCAACCTTTCGATTATGTCTAATCACCGCAACTTTTTTTTGTTGAACCTTTTGGCAGTCTTTTGGCAGTAGAACATTTGGACCCATACCTGGTAGGTGAACTTTGCTTGTAGCTCCTCAGAGTCTTTGGGGGTCCTCAGGTCCTCAAGACTTTTAGCTAAGGTCATGGGTTGGCTGTCAGGCTCGTCCTGGCAGCCGAAGATGTCTCCCAGCAGGTTGATATTGGAGAACTTCTCAGTAACTGGGCTGGGAGGGGCAGTGTGACTCTCTGCCCCAAAACCAGGATCATCCCCTTCTATCAACTCAACCTCCTTCAGGGAGCGGTATGGCTGTGGCCTGCAGGGACAGGGTTTGACTGATGGTTACTTATCTCTCTTACACATTAGAGGTCTTCATGTGTTAAAACACTGCACCCAACCTGTAAAAGAACCACTGACTTTAACGCCAAATAAAGATGCACCTACATTTTTATTCTTCCAAGATTAACATGCTGTTATTATCCCTGCACTCTTTATTCAGTTAGTTAAAAGGATAAAGCTGGTAATTATCTCTATTTTTCTTGGACAAATCCATTGAAATGAAAATTGGATGGATGAAAATAGTCTACAATGATACAAAGCACAGTGCCCACCTATTTAAGAAATTGTATTTGATTTGTACTTTAAAAAAAACAGGAAAGTATATATGTGTGACCTGTTTACATCTTTAGTAGGAACAAATTGGCTTGAGGCTGAATCAATCAATCAATCAATCAATCAATCAATCATACATATATAGCCCTTCAGTGTTTTCTTGTTCTATTAGCTCTTTGGTTGTTTAACTGCATACACCATACCCTTATCCTGTGGGATTATTCTTATTAGGGCCCGAGCACTGACCGTGCGAACATTATCCGATCTCAATGAAACTTCACGTTTGATAAGAGTCCCACCCTGAACACGTCTATGTGATAATATTCAGTAATAATGAGAGCCCCACCTAGTGATGAAAGGAAATGTCATATTTTATACTTATATACTTCCTAGCAGGATAATCAGATCTAGCTGAAATCTAGTCAGGAAATGCAAAACATGTTGTTGATGATATTTCATGATTGTGGTGAGTTTTTTAAAAGGGTGTGTCCGTGGCGTCATATTTTGATGTACCCCCAGAACACACAAAGTTGCTATAACTCGAGTGTACATTGTCCAATCGGCTCCAAACTTCACTTGTCTGATACTGCCCTATGTGATCATATTCAATAATAATTACAGCGCCACCTAGTGGTGAAAGGAAATGTCATTTTTATACTTTTATGTATATCTTCCAGCGGTTTGGCCAGATCCAGCTGAAATTATGTCAGAAGTTCCTTAGGATGATGACGATGACATGAATCTTAAGAATTTTCAATTTTGAATTTCATGATCAGCGTTTTTTTCGCATTGTATTTCAACAAACTCTAGGGACTTTGGTAAAGGTCAAACTGGACCTGTACTTTGTATAGCGCCTTCTAGTCTTCCGACCACTCAAAGCACTTTTACACATGTGCCCCCACATTCACACCTTCACACACATTCACACAGTGATGATCATACACATTCACACACCAATGCTGTGCATCAGGAGCAATTTGGGGTTCAGTATCTTGCTCAAGGATACTTCGACACGTGGCAGGAGGAGCCGGGGATCGAACCTTCCGATTTGGGGACGACCCGCTCTGCCTCTGAGCCACAGCCGCACTTTATCGGATCAACTTCAACATTGATCAGTACAGTTGCTGATCAAAAGTTGTGCTATTTGTGCACGTACGTTGAAGGGCGTGTCCGTGGCGTGGCATCAAAGTCGGCCATTTTTAATTTTTTGGTCATTTTCTTTGATTTTTCGCATTGCACTTAATGAACTCCTCCTAGGGAATTTATTGGAACAACTTCAAATTTAATCAGAGGTCAATGTTCGTAAACTTCCTTTACAACTTAAATTGTACTTTAGCAGCCCGCTCATTGTTTTCACTACAGTCAGCTTAAAGAATTGCCACAGAGACAGTCTCCATTGATATGAAAAAAAAACTAGTTGCAGTATTGTATAGTACCCAATGTGTTTTAGTGCCCCTATAAGTAACCTTATATCACTATGGGGTTATATATCTATATATATAAAGTTATGAAGTTAATATAATGTGATCAGAAAATGTTTTTGGCTAATCCTGCTTACTGATTTGCAACACTGCTCGAAAAAGCCTAACAACTACAGATGTTGAAGGGATAGCTGAATCATAATATTAAAGCTCTTAAAATGGCACTAAAACATGGTATCACTTTACCTTACATATTTTTATTGCATCACAGATAGGAACCTCATCTCTCTATTGTTCTTTAGTTAAGGAATAATAGTATCTAGTTGAACTTGTTTTTGTGGAGGATACAGTGGGCATTGTGACAGGCAAGATTTTAGAATGACTGGAACAGCTCCCCCTTGTGGCAATTCAAAATAAATCAGGAAATCAATACCGGACTGTACGTTAACGAGCTGGATCGTGAGGATATTCATGATTAACCATACAATGGAAATTCACCACAATGAACTTACCTGAATGTTTTTTACTGGGATGCGATAATATCTATGGCCTACTATACCTACTCATGGTATATGTATTTTGACACATCACACAATTCTAATGTCACCACCAAACAAAACTGAAAGACTGGGCCGGGTTGGTTTTTTCCCTGATAAAGAGACCTCTATCACACACCTACACCTACACACACCTACACACCTATACAAACACACACATACACACGATCAACTCTCAAGCTATACCTGATCAATGAGTGCCTTCTGTAAATTAGACCACCAACCAAAACCTAATCCCAACACTTTCCTATCCAAACACCATAATGTCCTCCCTGTGAAGCTTTAAAGCACATGTACACACACATTCGCACATTTCAAGAGAAAACAGATAAGTTGAGAAAAGCTTATTAATTAATCAATAGTGCAAAGCCAATCAGAGAGATGCGTACAGAGGCGACCACTCAAAAGGGACGGAGAAGAGAAAGCTGTCAGGAAACCCAGAGATGGAGTCATCGTCGTACTGGAGCTCGTCTCCGGACGAATCCTCAGAAAGAAAGACGGTGTAGTGACGAGTAGGACGGATAGAGCTACGGTGAGGAGAAGGAAGACAACAGGATATTCACAGCTCATTAGCCATAGGTTAATAAAATCCATTAAAGAGGAACAGAAAACTGAAGAAAAGGAAAGTTAAGGATTAGTATTTATATTTTGATACATAATTAGGATTAATGTTACTGTACTTAGAGTAACTATATTATTTGATTTTGAATGAGCATTAAGGAAGCAGTGCAGTTAGTTGAAAAGGAAATTAAATCACACTGTCACAAACAAACAAAGCAATGAACAAAATGCGTTGAACTGCTGAGATAAATCCTGTGTGACTGGAACTGAAGGTTTTCTCAGTAAAAGGCAAGCTGCCACAAGATAATATTCTCCATAGAATATACAGTTAGAGCTAGTAAAATATGCAAACTTTTGTCAGTCTTCAGGAACAAAGATTCCATTTAGAATCTTTTTTTGGGGGCTTTTATTGCCTTTTTTTTTATTGATAGCGACAGCTGAAGATAGACAGGAGAGGGGGGCAGAGAGAGGGGATGACATGCAGCAATGGGTAAGGACTCAGCCTTGGTACATGGGACGCCAGCTCTACCAACTGAGCTAACCGGGCACCCATCCATTTAGAATCTTTAAAATGACGACATGGACGTCAAGTTTATAAAATATAGTTCCCTATCAAGAACGTAAGTATTATTACATATGAATACATTTATTTGATTATTTTCTTGCTGGTACACAACATAGAAAAACCTTTTCTATGTTGTGTACCGGTAATAGTACAGTATTACTGTATAATATGTTCATATTTTGTATTATCTTACTTTAATAGAGCTGTATTTATTGTATTCTATTAGATTAAACAATACAAAGAGTGCTCAAAATATCACAATGTAATAAAATATAATATAAAATTAAATAAATGGTATAAAGCTGGTAAGAACAAAGAGTGGCTTTTACTGTGAAACAGCTGCATTATTACTTTTCCTCTTGCCTGTAGTGTTGTTTATCCATCCAGATAGTTGTGTTGCTGAGTTTTGGAAATACCGGACGTATAAATGTCTGCCTTCTTTCCAAAAAAATATGTATTTTTGATTTGGGGGTGAACTGTTACTGAATTTCTTGCTCTTTTCTACAACACTACCCCAAAGATCGTACAATAAATATATTTAATATATTGCACCATGGACAGTGGAATTACTGTATGTAATAGAGGTAGGCCGTATATAAAGGAGGTAGGCTTACTGGTCAACGCTGCTTTCCAGACTCACATTGCTGCTCGGCCTCTTTAACAGGATTGGTGGGCGAGCCTGTGGAAGTGAAAAAATAATAACTAGAATTACCGCCCTGAGCTTGTTCCCCTCCACCAACAAGTCAAGTAGCAGTTTACATGCATGTCTGTCTAGACTCATATGATATGTATAGTGAAGAATTTGAAGGGATTAAATGGAAGTTATTACTATATTTATGGTACATATGTATAATTTCAATGAATACAATGAATATCAGCTGTAGCAGGGTTCCCACTCTTTTGAGTCATTTTCAAGACAGCGCTTGAAAATGCTTGCTTGCTCACAAATGGTCCTAAAAGCTGCAGTTTCGGGCAAATTGAACACATTAGTTACAGAATGTATTTTACTTGACAGAAAATTATCTTCTAGAAAGTTAAAGTATTCATTGCACGAAAAATTAACATCACCGGGCATTCATGTATTTATGAACCACAGCAACAAGAAATTTAATTATCAATAGTTTTTGTGCATGTAAAATCTTTCTCGATCGCAGCTCTGGAAAAAAATACACTCATTGCTGAAAAGATCACTGCAAGTCTGTTCCGCTTTGCATGTAGTAAACCCCAGTAAATACAGTTTATCCCACCAATAGTCGAGTTTCAAACAAAATTCAGACCTAAATTTACATAGGCCATCGATTATTTCCATGTGTCATGACTAGAAAACTAGTACCTAAGAAAACCCTAAAATCAACAAAGAAATGATAATGGCAGGGGTATCAATAATCATCATTCTCCATTCTTCTTAAGTTATGGCTAAAAACCTAATTTGAGGTCACACTGATCAGCATCACCAATTCAGTGTCTGACCAACTGTGAACAACGGTCATCAATTCTCAAGTTATGGCCAAAAATATGTTTTGTGAGGTCACAGTGACTTTGACCTTTGACCACTAAATTCCAATCAGTTCATCCTTGAGTTCAATTGGATGTGAAATTCAGTTCATTACTTCTTTTCTTAACAAATCCAGTTAAACTTGACAAATCATGGTACATCATCACACTGACGCAAAAAATTGGAACTATAAATACTGACTGATGACTGTCCACAACTGTCAAATACAGGGATTTTCAAACTGTGGGGCACCTCACGAAGGGGATGTGAGAAAGTTGAGTGAGGGCCATGGAGAAGTGAAAGGCACTGGTGCACGCTGGTGTTCTAAAAACAACTGGAACTGGTTATTATAATCTGGCCCGCTTATCAACACACAGCTCATGGAAGATATTAAGGTACTTATATACTCTGAGTACCTGACTGCCAGAAGTTGCTTCTGAAGTCTCACTACTTTTTCATTTACTTTGTCATAATTAATTTAGAACACACAAACATTAGGACTGTAAATTATTGTCATTACTGATTAATGAAGAAAGCTGAACATACTCACATTGGAAAAGTTGAAATCAGAGAATTTGGAATTTTTTTCTTAAAAATGACTCAAAACAATTAATGCTAAGATAAAATAAAGATAAAAAATGGCAACAATCCAACAATGTTTTCAAATGTTTCCAACAATGATCAAACTCAGAGAAATCTTATTCAGGTAACGCTGCGTTTCACCGGTCGCCTGTCGGTGGCTTCATATCCCCTTTGTGCCTGCGTCAGCGTTGTGGTTGTCTGCCAGAAGCTGTCATACATTGACTGTTTATCCAGTCTGAAGCCACATTTTTACGATC